CTTTCAACAAAAGAATACGGCAGCAGCACCACAATTCCCTCCGCTAACTCCGTTCGGGCGGATATGGACCAAATAGATGTACGTGTTTTTGTTTTGCTTACCTACTATTTTTGGTTTCATTATCGTTTCTTTTCTCATTGTTTTTGTTTGTAGCTTCCTATAAGGTATGCCGCAGCTCTGTTTTATGAAGCTTCAGAGTACTGGTATTATTTGATTTAGATTGATAAATGTGATGTTTCAGAGTTATATTGAACTTTTCTATGAAGATAGTGCAGAAAAAAATCGTGGAGCTATGCTGATCTTGGAACTCACCAAAACTACAGCAAAACTTAGAGGTCCTTATTGAAAACGGTAAGTATACAAAAGAGGAGTTGGTAGCCGTCCTTCTAGTTGCTCGTTTCAATCTTTTCACTCCTTTGTATTTGTTTGTGTGTCAGATTGGCCTAAACTTAGCGTGCACAGATTCGTCGAGTTTTCTTTCAGAGACTCTTATCGGTGCATTAGCTCGTGTATTCCGCGAGGATTGGAAGAAGAATTTTGAATTAGCTACCACAATTATACGCATATTTGTACAATTCTCATACTATAACCAATTTCAAGCAACTTTATCTCATCACAAGGTGAGTTTTCGTAGTCTCAGAATCTTGCCTTTGCTTTAGACTGTCGTTGTATTTGTGTGGATGTATGCTTCGCTCTGCGGAAAGGAACGTGGCTCTAACGAATTTTCTTGCCATTGCCTCCCGTAGTTGTCGAATTCGTACATAAATCTGTATCTAATTTAGATTGGCGCCTTATGCATGAATGCTATAGAGTATGAGATAAAGCGCGGCGATTTATGGGCAGCTGAATCGAAAAATGCAGACGAGAAAACGGCACGAAAGTGTCGTCTAGCTATACGCAAGCAACAAACGCTCTTGGCAGGTATGGCCCTCTGCTTTTATTTTATTGGCTGTCCACATTGCAGTTTGTGAGATTTTCCACTTTTCGTTCTCTTTTTTCCTTTCGTTCTGTTTTTGTGTTTTTGGTTTCGTTATTGGAAATTTGGCGCTTCTGAGTGAGCGGAAAGGCTTATGGTCTATCAAGTTTTCCTACATACCGTTAATCGTTAGCATTTCCTGCATCCATTAGAAAAGATCAAAAATTGCAGCGTGCATCACTTTGCTAACCAATCTTGCTCATGACATTAACGTGGAGCTCAAAATGGTCCGCCGAGATATCGTGCCGATTCTATTACGCTGCTTGAGCATGCGAGATTCAGCCGAACTTACGCTGGCTACGGTTCAGTTTCTGCTGAAATTGAGCATCTTTGAAGAGAACAAGTCAGCCATGGTTGGTTCATACTCAAGTAATAGGGGTTTCTCCCTCAATTTTGATGAACAACTGGTAATTTTCACACAGTCTCATGATTTCTACATTATGATTTTAGGAACAAGGAGATATTATCGGGAAATTGTTGCAATTATTCCCGATCGGTGATGTCGAACTACGCAAAGTCACAATACGTCTGCTCTTCAACCTTTCTTTCGACGCGAAATCTCGCCGAAGAATGGTTGCTGAAGGTCTTGTCACTCACGTCGCTCCTCTAATCGAAAGTTCGTTCATTTTTCATCTGCAGTTTGTTTTCTTCCAAAGTCTTGACTCTCATTTTATCGTTTTCATCATATTTCATCACAAAATCTTTTCTTCAACTTTGCTGATGTTGTGAAGAAAATTTTCCAGGTGATGCTAAAGCACTAAATCTCTTGTATCAACTCAGCGTGAACGACGATGCCAAAGCCATGCTAACATTCACGGATGCGATGCAATTGGTAGGCTAACTCTATGGGTATAAGAAATACCTAACGCCTCCTATTATCTCCATTTATTCTAGTTTTTTCTGATATAAAAATACTTTTCAGCTCATGCGCGATTTGCTCACTGGGAACGGTAGCGAAGCGACAAAAGCGGTTTTGCTGAATGCTTGCGCAGAGAAGAGGAATGCTCAACTTGTATGCGGTCACGATGGACAAGGGTATGCATTCTGATACTATCCAACAACTTTTTTATCTCTACGTTTTTGCTTTATTTATTCAGACTTGCTCTACTGATGGATGCTGCAATTGATGGACGCGATTTAATGGTAGCGAAGATTGTGCGGAGCATTGCTAGTCATGAAGGACCTACACAGGATATGTTTGTGGTGAGTTCTAAATTGACAAAGTTTCGATGTAGGATCGCACACTTGTTCTCTCTTCAATTTGTCACTCTGTTCAGAGCTCGATGCCCAGGCTTCTCGAAGCGGGAATGAAGAACGCCCTCACGCAGGAAGACGAAAACATAGCGTTAGGTTTGGAATTCATCGGTACTGCAGCTCTGATAAAAGTAGCAGATTGGAGCAGGTTAGTTGATTGAGCATAATTTCAGTGTTTCTTAAAATACGAGTGACCTTGTTTAGCTTAAGTACTTCGTACGATCTCGTGAATTGGATAGGGGAGAGACTGAAAGCTTCTGGTGGTGAGAACGAACCTCTTCAATTGCAGGTACCTATAGCTAACTTGTCCCCAAGAGTTCGAGGTAACCAGGTCTTGATTTATAGTTAGTAATAATGTGTGGTACTATGGCTCGACAGGTCGATGCAGCAAGAACTTTAGTACCGCTTCTTGAAGTGTTCCTTCAACTTCTCCACAGTGAGTGCTTTTTTGACCGCTCCTAATAACAAATCATATGCGTGTTTCTCAAGAAACGCACTCTCTGCACAGTGCAAGATCTACAATCATCATCGGTGGGTACTGCCCCAGACCTGTCGAGACAGTTTCCCGTGGCCTTGGTGCGCACGCGCAGCGGCGACCGTGACCTAAAGTTGGGGAGCATGTCCTCCTCGTTTATTCCATTCGTTTTACATTATTTCTATTTTTTTTTTTTTGCGTTTATAATTCCCTGCTGTAGAAGGCTAGTTTGGCTTTAACCATAGCTGTGACGGCAATCTATGGTGTTTGTATTTTTTGCGTTGGTTGGCGCGTCGGTGCGGGTTGTGTTTTCGAAAATGTCCTTGAGAGCAATACTACTTCGGGATTGCTTACTTTTTGTATTGCATGCCATTTAAAGGCAGAGTGCAGCGTTGATGTACCTACAGCCTTTGTCGTCTTTGTGCAATGGCTAGCGCCAAACAGAGATGGTACTATGCACTCAGAATCCAAACGACGAGCGCTCGTAAGGTCTAGCAAGTATTAAGCGCTTTCGCCGCCTGGCGGCGCTCCGACCGCCCACCTCCGGACGTGGTGCGTGGCTGGCATAACGTGTGAAATCAGCTAGGTTGATTGCCGTATCAACCGATAGAACGACTGACATCTCCAGAAAACTTGTTTGTACGTGCCTCTTTCCCAAGCCAGCCTCCTTCACTGCTAGTGGGAAAGAGGGTTTTGTTAACGGCCTTGTCGACGGTTTTTCTCAGTTTTTTCTCCACTGTCGTTCCACTTCGCATCTCTATACTCAGTTTCAATCGCCATAATACCCCCTTATTGAGCCCGACTTTTGCCTTTAAGACGTGTGGCATACGATCTATTGTTCAAGATCTGTTTAGCAATGCAAGAAGATGACGAATTTGTTGCGCAACTACTGTATCTTTTCCTACAACTGCTCCGTCATCGTGAATTAGCCAACCGCCTAATGGGCCCTGACTCCGCTCTCGGTGCTTATGTAATTGATCTTATGCACGATAAAAATCCGGCAATCCGTGAAATGTGTGACAACGCCTTGGTGATTATAGGGGTGAGTTTTTTTTGTGCAAGTGTTCTGGATATATCCCAAACCTGACCTAACTGTGCGGTTGCTATCCATCGTTGTGTTTTAGGAACACTCTCAGGAGTGGGCTAGACGTATTGCTGCGGAGCGATTTCGTTGGCACAACGCTCAATGGCTTGATACTGTTGAGGGTGGAGTGGCTTGTGACGAAGGCGCTGTCATGGATGACGACTACGTGCCCGGCATGCTGTTTGATGATCAATTTGATGACGGTTTTGACTTGGCCAATGATGAACCGCTTTACTAACTTTAGTTGCATTAATAATGTTTTTTCACTACGTCTTTGGACCGATCTCGTTTTCTCATTTCTAGTCACGTGTTCGTATGCTCTTTCAATATTCTTCTCTCTTTCTGTGGATCACTAATCGCCGTAATAACTCCGTCAGAATTCATATTGGTAAACTGAAAGTCATAGATTCTCGTGCATTTAGGGGCTATTTCTCACACACGAATGTACAGAATTTTCCTTGATCTCCTGCTAAAGTCCATCCTCTTTTAACCATTTCAACATCAACATCACGAATGAATTTTCAATAAAATTCAAAGCAAATCGTTCATAAAAAGCAGTTTTTACACAGTAAACATTCTTTTTATATCTATATCAAGATGCTAATCGTTGTGTTGGGTTAACGAGTGACAATTTTTCAGATGGGTATAGCCTGGTTATGGGAATCAGCTCGCCACAAGCAGGTAATTGAATTCTTAGTAATTCATGGATTTTTTAATTGTGATGTGGGCCATAACGCCGAGAAATCTATATTCATGTTTGCAGGGTGAGCGAGGACTCGCGGCTTCGGGAGCTTGTCTGTGTTGCGTTGTTGTCTTAGCGTATTGCGTGTCAGCTAGCCACTCCATAGGTATGTGATTTCATTATTTATTCAGCTACTTTTTGTTTTGTAAGCAGCATCTAGAACTTGCGGTGCTGTTTCTGATAAAGTGAAGTATACTATATTTATTAGGCTTGTGGGAAGTCTCCCGCCCCATTTTTTCGCAACTGTTTTAAAAGACCTAAAGAGTCGAGGTAGGCGCCGTTCTCGCTGACCACACGACGATGCCAGCGCTGGGCCGGCTTGCCTAATACTACCTTCCAAAGGTACGGGAGTTGGAAATCTGAGTAGTCGTCGGGTCTCCCTTAACTGATACGTGGTCGTGGGCTTGTGCTGTTAGGAAGCGCCTGAGGTGACTGACGAGGCAGGATCTAGGCAAGCCAGCCTCAGTATTTGCGATACCCGACTTTTGCTTTGTCTGGCTGGTAAAAAGCAGTCGTGGACCTAAAGTGAACATTAACTTTCACTCCAGCTCCACATGATAATGTAACCCAGGCTAACTGGAGTACGGCCTTCCAGTCTTCCTTCAGGCCACCCACAGTCCTATCTCCACTAAACTTGACTCATCAGCTACCTCAAGCGCTCTCTGCACAAAAAAAATCGACCAGAGAACCAATTCAAAGAGACGCCTGACGGCTATTTGAAATCACAACTCTGTTGTGGGAGGAAATCGTCAGGCTATCGAAGCGTTGGCGTCTATCGGTGGACGGTGATAGTGCAAACCCCTGACTTTTAGAGCACTTGGCTACCGAAGCATTTCGAAATAATTGGTTTACAACATCCCTGTCCACCGATATACGTCAGCATTTGGGCTCTTGACACATAGGAAATGAGGTAGCGAACTTTTCATCCAATCAATCGATAGTTTGCTGCTGGGCATCTTGTTTCTGCAAGGTTTCCGTTATTTCTCCTCCCGCATGGTACTTACTCGAACTTTTCGAATAGCTATTGAGCTGGGAAAGAAAATAATGGCGTGTAAGGTAAAAAAAATCTTAGTGACGGTTTGGAAAAGGATCAAAAGAAGGGATCAATTGTAAATCTTGTATTTTTGGAAAAACGTAAGATGAGGTCGCACACGGATGGCACGCTGCAGCCCATAAATTGCTGCATGATTGCCAGAATGTTCAAAGTTGAGTTCGTGTTGAATCAAAAACACATTCCACGTAAATTGTCTTGAACTTAAATCGTTTAGTATGCGCTTAAGTGAGAAGGTTGGCAAGTCAAGATCTTTAGGTTTTAATGCTAAAAAATAGGAAAGAAGCATTAATATTGACTGACTGAAACGTGGTGACTTGAACTACCACCAAAAGCTCCTTTTCTAGTTTTGATGTCTGCTATGTGGATCTCAATATTTGCACTCTGCTCACTTCTTTCGGCGTTGTATTCGATGACGATTACGCATAAGCCTATGGAGAAGTTCAGCTACGGTCTAGCGCGAGTTCCTGTTCTGGCCGTCTTCAGCACTACTGTAAGTGTGCTGTCTCGTTTCATTAAGTGAGGGAAAATTCAATCTATTTACAAAAAATCTATTTTTAAGGTACTTGCGCAGTTGTTCTCAATATTTTTGTCGAAGGAATCCTTCGAACATTTACTATCCCCCGAGCATCAAGGATCACACGATGCGGCGGCTGCACATGAACACGAAGTGGAAGTTGTAGGTAAGTGGGTGCAGGTGATAAATCGCAGATTGTCGTTTTAATGCACGCTCTCGCATATCTTGCAATCTGGCAGTTATGCAAAATTTTCTTGTGGTCTTCTTCTTTTTATTGAGAGGTTAGTAAGTGATAATATGCACGATAGAAATACGAAAGGAAAGCAGCCAGCAATTAATAGCTGGCTGCTCCGGGACTTTCAAGAAAGTCTCGAACCCATATCTGGCGGCCACAGAACTGACCCAGTCCCT